AAAACTCTCAATCCAGAGTTCTTTAGCAAAACTATTTTTGTAAAACAAAATAAAGACATTAACAGATAAGCAAAAATGGAAAGAACTTGTGGTTGGCCGACCTATTACCCTGCAAGCAGATATATCACAGATTGTCAGCCTGGATAAGAGAGCAGGCAAGATCTTGTTATAGGCTGTCAACAAGAGAAACAGTTTAGATTAATGAGCACAAGTCTATTAAAACCAAAAGTCAGGAAAGGATACACTATATAAATAGTAATTATAAGAGAGCTTTGGCTGGGCAGTGGTGGTGCATGCTTTTAATCCCAGCACTCGGGAGGCAGAAGCAAAGCTGATATCTCTGAGTTCGAGGCCAGCCTGGTCTACAAAGCAAGTTCCAGGGCAGTCAGGGCTGTTACACAGAGTAACCCTGTCTCAGAAAACAAAACAACAACAACAAAAAGAGTTTGTAGTTGCTACTTTAATACCAGACCAGCTATTTTGGGTTCAAATGGTTGAACTCAGGGCCTCTTGCATACTATGGAAATGCTATACTACTGACTGAGCTATGTGTCTGGGTTCCAAATAGGTGTAGAACATAGGACTTGCTAGGGATAAATAGGGACATTTCATAACAAAAAGTAATATATATACAAAAATTGTTACAATGGAGGCTGAGATTTTGCTCAGTTGGCTCCTAGCAAGCATGAAGCCCTGGATTTGATATCCAGCACTGAATAAAATTGAGCATGGTGGCACAGGCTTGTAATTCCAGCCCTTGGGAGGTGGAGCCAAGAGGACCAGAAATTCAAGTTTTTTTGTTTTGTTTTGGGTTTTTTTGTCTACATTGTGAGTTTGAGGCCAGCCTGGAATATGTGAGATCCTCTCTCTCTCTCTCTCTCTCTCTCTCTCTCTCTCTCTCTCTCTGTCTCTGTATATATATATATTTCTAACAATAGAGACAGGATGGCCCATGTCTTGGGAGGCTCAGAATGAATTTGAGGCAGTCTAAAATATAGCAAGACCCTGCCTGAAAAAAAAAAAAAAAAGAAAAGAAAGCTTCAATATATATGAAGGGAAAATACTGATGTATTTGAAAAAAAAAAAGTACTCAACTATTTAATTTAATCTCTTTTTTTTTGAGACAAAATATTGCTATTTAGCCCTGGTTGGCCTTGTACTCCTGGAGATGTTTCTGCCTTGCCTCATGAGACAACAGTTTTAGTTTGAGATTTTCCTACTTCATTCTCAGTGCATGGCAGGCTGCAGTGCCCACCTTCCTGCAGGAGCATGCATAGCCGAGATGCCCGGCTCCTGGGCTCTGAGACTGACGGTTGCATTTTCTCCCTGGCTGTGCTGCCTTGGTCGACTTCCAGTGAATGCAAAGAGCTGGGATATCAAGTGAGGTCCATTTCCAGGAGACAGCTGGCTCTTCTGATTGTCAACAGCTTCGGCTTGAAAACTCCCAACAGGTTGACACAGCCTTTCTTAGTTTGCTCAAGTAGTCTAGGAGCTTCTACCCTGCCTTTCGTTCACTCGAGGCATAGCTTGTATTGCAATCGAAAGCTTTTCCAGACTCCCTCCCTATTTCCTGTCCCACAGGATTCCCTTAATAAAATTGTTCAAGTGTGCGATTTCGTCTTGACACCAGCCTTTTTGGAGGGAGCAGATCAATACAGGATACTAGGAATGGGCCAAGGAATTAGGCTGGGGGGTGGGCAGTGAGATGTCTCAGTGGCTTAAGGTACTTGTCAACAAGTCTGATGACTGAGTTTAATCTCCAGGCCCCACATAGTGGAGAGAACTGATTCCTGAAGGTTATCCTCTGACCCTAACATGTGTTCATCTGTGCTGAAATATGCCAGTGCACTCTCCTATCTACTAAATAAAAATATGATCTCCTTTCCTCAAGGATCTCTTCTATTTAGCCCTTGGCATGCCAGGAGCTTGCTGTGTAGACATGGTTGGTCTTGAACTCACAGAGATCTGCCAGCCTCTGCCTCCCTGTGTTTGGATTAAAGGTGTGCCACCACACCTGGCATGATCTCTCTCTCTCTTTTTTTTTTTTCAAGAAAAGGTTAGTAAGATGAGGATTTCAGGCTAGCTCACATCTGCTCAGCAGATGGAGAATGCTATCTTTCCTGGGAAGTAGGTGTGGAGTAAGGGTATGGATGCCCTTAATCCTGGCACTCAGGAGGATCAGGAGTTCAAGATCATCCTCAGCTAGACAGCAAATCAGAGGCCAGCCAGTGGCTACAAGAGAACCTTTCTCATAAGAAAACAATTGCAACAACAAAATAAATCAAAGGACAAAAATCCCAAAGCAGACATATAAAAAGATTTCTCTGGTATCGACCTGTGAAAATATCATTCCTGCTGCAGTGGGTAAGACCCATGTCCTGGTGCAGTACTGTAGACATTTCACAGACCAGGGCAAAGGACACTTGCAAAGACTAAAGGCTGCTAAACCGTTCTGACACTTTACATAAGGATTGGGGGAGGATAAGAGGTATTATTCCCAGCCCCCCCCCTTTTTTTTTTTGATGCAGGGTCTCTCTAGCCCTGGCTGGCCTCCAATTGAGAGCGATCTGCCTGCCTCTGACTCCCAACTGCTGAAACCAAAGACGTGTACCACCACACCGGGTTCTCCACCTTATTTTTTAAGACAAGATTTCTAGCTGAACCTGGAGCTTACACTAAACTGGCTGGCCAGCACTCTCTGGGGATCCTCACATTTCCACCTTCCCAGTGCCAATTATATAGGCTTGCTGGTTCTGCACTTTGTATGCATTCTGAGGATCTAGCTGGGGGCTTTGTGCTTCTGTGGCGGGGTGTTTACAGACTGGGACATCTCTCTAGCCCCTCACTGTTTTCCAGTATGTTCCAAGTTGGGAAACCATCACAACATAAAGAATTCTAGACCCATTCATAGTCACTAGCCCCTTTCTCCCCAAGCCTTCTAGATAATTTATTTCTGACTTTATAGATGTTCCCTATTCTGATCATTATCTTTTAAAAATGTTTTCAAAAAATTTAATTACTTGTGATAAGTTTGGTGCATGTGAGTGCAGTGCCCCGTGAGGCCAGGAAAGGATCCCAGATTTCCTCGAACTGGAATTAGAGTGGGTTGTAACTGGTTAACTGGGTTCTGGGAGCCAAACTCAGGTCCTTTGCAAGAGCAGCAAGAGCTCTTGACTGCTGAAGCATCTCTCTAGTCCCAGCATTATCTTTTTGTTTTTGTTATTGCTACCTTGAGACGGGGTTTCTGTAGCTTTGTGAGCTACAGAGTGAGAGCCTGTCTCTACCAAATGGTAGCTTTAAACACATATAAAACATCAAAAGTGGTGCATATCAGTGGTGTATTATGGAAAGGTTTATATTCACTGTATAACGTAAATATCAGTTGAAACATTTGACTCAACTCTATCATTTCTTTTTATTTGGAGATTTTATTATAAGTGCATGTATGTTTGTGCACCATGTGCATATTTGTCATATCTTTATGAGAGGACAGTATATCTTGGTTTTTACTAGGAAGAGCCTTTGGGGGATTAGGAATACTTCCTTTTGGAACACCTAATCCCTGACTAGGACACTCTGTAATCCAGACAGCTATGGGAAAGGGCAGGGATGGGAGATAATACTTCGCAGTGAATGTGTGGTAGTTTGTAATGATTTTCACAACCATTCTGCTACTTGCTTATCACTTCACAGCACTTACAGTGTTTACACACTTGAAGTAACTTGCATAACTTAACCAAAACTACAAAGCTAGAAACAGGCTGCGGATAAGGCATACTTGGAGGGCTGCTGTGGAATCTTATTTCAACTGGGCAAAGATGAGTTTGTTTATGCTGCAGAATGTTCCTTTAGCTGTGTAAAGGTGTGTTACTTTTGTGTTTGCTGAATTTGTTTAACTATGTAAAGATGTGCTGCATTTGTTTCACCTTGCCTGCCTAAGGCACCTGATTGGTCTAACAAAGAGCTGAATGTCCAATAGCCAGGCATAGAGAGTAACTAGGAGAAATCTAGGCTGGAAAAGGAAGAATGAGAAGAGGAGAGAAGGAGGGACATGCCCGGGGCAAGAAGCCAGGCAGACGCCAGGCAGCCTGGAAGAAAGAATCCGGGAAGAAAGAATCAGTGAAAGTAGGATATATGGAAGGAAGGTAACAAGTCCTGAGGCAAAAGGTAGATAAAGAGAAACAGGTCGAGTTAAGAGCTAGCCAGAAACGTTCCCAAGCTAGGCCACGCATCAAAGCTAGTAAGTCTCTGTGTCATGATTTGGGAGCTGGTTGGTGGCCCCCAAGGAAAAAGCCTGGTACTGAGTGCTGTGTGCCTAGCATGAGCAAAGCCCTGGGTTTGGTCCCCAGGACTACATGAATGGTGTGGGCGCTCTATGGTTAAAGTTTGTGAGTCAGGCCTGCCTGGGGTAGGCGAGACCCTGTCTCAAAGAAACAAAGCCAGGACACAAACTTCGGTTTTCTAGCTAGCCCTTCTTCATCCTCAAGCTGGATCAGTGCTTCGCTAACTTCAGTGCGCAGAAGAATCCCCTGGGGAGGCAGCCTGTGAAAGACTGCTCGGGGCCCACCCACCGAATTCCTGATTCACAACTTCTGGGGCGGAGCCCAAGCATTAGCATCTCCAGCCGCACTCTCAGGAGATGGCTGCTGCTGCTGCTGCTGCTGCTACTGCGGGTCTGACACCGCACTGTTCTCTCTCTCTCTCTCTCTCTCTCTCTCTCTCTCTCTCTCTCTCTCTCTCTCTCTCCCCTCAGGCACTGTGCTTTTATGTCCGATATCATCGGCGGCGTGAATGATGAAGGTCAATGGGGTGGAGGTTGACATAGCCTTCCTCTCACAAGGTCATCTTTTTAGGACAGTTATGTGCGGCTTGTCAAAGCAACCGCCGACTGAGGAAAGGTGGACAGAAGTTAGAAAAGCAACAGAGAGGACGGGAAAAGAAATGCCCAGGATGGTGCTGAAATGTGGTTGCATCTGTTCTTCTGGTGGTGGTGGTGGTGGTGGTGGTGGGGGAACGAATAGGCAAATGGAGGATTGGTCCTCGTTGTTCCCGAAGCACCTGCAGGGAGGAAGATTCAGTTGGCTCTTCAGAAGGGGAGGGGGTGCTGGTACTGGGGGGCGGGGAGGGCAGGCAGACAAAGGACTGTCCACCGCAGAGTCTCCTTGCTCTTTGGCTACATACAGCCTTAGCTGCATACTCATGCTGACTTCATTCCCAATCCTTCACCGGGCCAGGACTTGAGCAGGCTGAATCTGTATAAAGAAGAAAGAATGATTGTAGATAACAAGGAAACACATTTTCTTGAGTCTGTCGGGACTCTTAATAAACGCATGCATACATATATACTATATATATATACATGTATATATATATTTTTTCCTTCGGGAGCTCAGATGGAAGTCACTTAATTTGGATCTGCAGTGTAATTGCAGAGCCGGCCCGGATGCGATGTGAGCATCCCTGGCTGAGGGTTTGTGACCGGCTCTCAAGAGAGGATGACACAGCAGAGGCAGCTTGCTTTGCTCTGTAGACAGCAAAGCACTTAAGTCCTTGTTGAGGTCACCATCCCGAGAGTGCTCTAGATGCTTCAAACAGAGGGCAACTTCTTCTGCCATAGGCAAGCCGGCCCTAAGGATGGGAAGGGAAAGTGAAAACCGAGTGGGGTGTGTACAGCTGGCCTCCTCTGCCAACCAGGCCTTATCTTTATATGGACAGCTTTCAACATTTCCAGAGCATTTTTGTGGATATTAACCCCCATGCAGAGGTCAAACACTATCATTAAATTAGTGTTGAGCAAGGAACAGAGAAATGTGTTGGGTTAACATGGCTGCCAGCTAACCCTGCCAGCTGGGTGACAGGCACACCGGGACCAGCTGTGGACAGTTACTGTGTGATTCTAAAGGAGGCTTTGGAAAATAGGAAAGCCTCCAAGCACAGCCCCGGAGTCTCCAGGCTTCTGGTGAGGGACTGCTTCTACACTTCATCACCATGTGGAAGATGACAAAGCACAGTCAGGGTGTGGGGTGTGGCTTGCAGAGGCTGCAGAGGAGAAACCTGTGAGACAGGAAGGGATAGAGAGCCAAGGACCGCATTACTGAGAACTACCCCAAGAGAACTCCATTCACCCCATTGTAAGGATGGAGCTCCTGTGACCTGTATCTATCCCTCTTAAAAGGTCCCGGGAACTTCTTATACTGTTACATAGGGAATCGAATATCAGTTTGAAATTTTCGTGGGGACAAACTACATTGAAAACTTAACAGGAAAAAAATTAAAAAATAAAATTAGCAGAGTGTGGTGGCCCACTCCTCCAGTCTTAGCACTTGGGAGGCAGAGACGGGCAGATCTCTGAGTTCAAGGTCAGCCTGGTCTACAGGGCAAGTTCCAGGACAGCTCTCTCTTTCTTTCCACCTTCTTCTTTCTCTCTCTCAATTATAATCACAGGGATGTTTCCATTCATATGAAAAATGTGTATTTATTGGTACCTTTTCACCTTATCCTCCTTTGTTCACAGCAGAAAAGGACATTTTTACGGGGCATGGTGGTCATGCCCGTAATCCCACCATGTGGAAGCTGGGGACTGGAGGGTCAGGTAGGTCATCTTCAGCTAGGTAGGGAGGACAGAGTCAGCCTGGGTTACATAAGAGTCTATTCTTGGGGCAGTAGAGATGGCTCAGTGGTTAAGAGCACTGACTGCTCTTCCAGAGGTCCTGAGTTTAATTCCCAGCAACCACATGGTGGCTCACAACCATCTGTAATGAGATCTGATGCCCTCTGCTGGCAAGCAGAGCACTCAAACATAAAATTAAAAAAAAAAATCTATTCTCAAAGCTGGGAGGTGGTGGCGCACATAGGCAGGTGGATCTCTGAGTCCAAGACCAACCTGGTCTACAGAGTGGGTTCTAGGATGGCCAGGGCTCAAAGCTGGGAGGTGGTGGCCACATAGGCAGGTGGATCTCTGAGTCCAAGACCAGCCTGGTCTACAGAGTGGGTTCTAGGATGGCCAGGGCTACACAGAGAAATCCTTTCTCAAAAAACGAACAAACAAAAGATCCTATCTCAAAAGAACAAAGTGCTGGGATTAAAGGCGTAAGCCACCACTGCCTGGCTTTGTTTTGTTTTTGTGAGGGGTTTCTCTTTGTAGCTCTGGCCATCCTGGCCTCTGCCTCCCAAGTGCTGGGATTAAAAGTGTGTGCCACCACCACCACCCTGCTAAATCCTTAGTGTTTTTCCACTGAAGAACTGGGAGTTTCTAGCCCAGTGGTGGTGGCATGACCTTAATCCCAGCATTCGGGAGGCAGAGGCAGGAGGATGTCTGAATTTGACTCCAGCCAGAACTACAGAGCTAGTTCCAGGACAGCCAGAACTACACAGAGAAACCCTGTCTCAGAAACAAACAAACAAACAAACAAAACAAAAAAAAAGAGAAAGGATTGGAAGTTCCTTCCTTCCTTTTTATTTTTGAAATCAACATGAACAAAGGTGTGGGCCACCACATCTTATCCATTGCGCTTGATAATACCCTTTAACGATGTTTTCAAAACTAATATTTACAAGAGGATGGGATAGACTTAAGCTCTTTGAAATTTTGATCTTTTTAAAACTTAAAAGGTTTTTTTTTTGTTTGTTTTTTTTTTTTTTAAATGTACATAGGTGTTTTGCCTGCACATATAGTCTGGGCACCGTGTGCGTGGTGCAGACAGGGGACAGAAGTGGGCATCGGATCCTCTGAATCAGGATTTACAGATAGTTACCAACTGCCATATGAGAGCTGGGAATTGTACCCGGGTACCTCTGGATGACCAACCACTGCTCTTAACTGCCGAATCGTCTCTCCTGCCTCTTAAGCCCCCTTTTAGGGCCCCATCAGTTCACTGATAAGGTTCAGAGTTCAGAAAAGCAGAGGTTCTTTCAGATGTGTCTAGCAAAACTGCCCTTTCTGGTTCAGTCCTTTCGGGGTCTTTTAAAGCCCCACTACGGGCTCAACAGTGGTATCCAGGTATTGCTCTAAAAACTTTGCCTATGGTATAATTCATTTATGCCCAACAAAAATCCTAGCGTGTGAGCGCCATTATTATTCCCATTTTATAGATGGGAGCGCTGAGGCTCGGCGCACTTGCTCATGGACCTTGACGGTGCAGGAAGAAGTCTGGCTCCAGAGGTGAAGACTCCTCCTTAGTCTCTATTTGGTACTGTCTTCCTAGCCAAGTGACAAATGGCCTGCCTCTGATAAACGAGGTCAGTTAAAAGTCATCAACGAATCGAAATGGCACTGCTGTATTTCATTAACCCTACCTTCACAGGGATGTCAGTACTGGGGATCCAGGATGCTGTGGTGTGGAAGGGCACTGATTTTCCAGGGAGGGACAACCGTCCTCCAGTTACCCTCTTTTAGGGAGTCACACGAGGACAGACCTGCTAAAGAAAATGGCACTTGGGGGTTTCCAAGACAGGAAATCTCTAAAACCAAGCGGCTGACAACACTATTTTGGCATACGGGGGGTAGGGTGGGGGGGTGGGAAGAGAGTCTCTGAAAACACAAGTTTTAGCGTGGATAAGGGGTCCAGGCATTAACTGTGCTCCATCACTATCTTCCTAGCCTTCTCCAGTCTTGCGTCTCAAACCTGAAGCATTTCCTCCGTTCTCGGATCTGCCCAGCAGCCTCCTCTTCGCTTGTGATCTCTTTTGAAATAGGAGGCATGAAAACGCTGACCTGGCCTGTTTCCTCTTCCCCCGGCTCCATCCAGGAAAGGGTTAATCGGGAGGGTGGGGAGGGGAGTGGCGCTCACACCTTTCCCAGAGACCTCGGGCGGTGGCGGGGCCCGGGCGGGGCGGAGGCTGGGTCCCAGACTCCTGGCGAATAGCAGCGCGCAGCCGGCCCGGATTGGAGCAGCTTCATCACGCTGACCTCTGCCTGGGATGTAAACCCCACGGGCCGCCACGGACACAGCAGAGCTCTCGGCACCTCCGGGGAAGCCATCTCGGCCTCCCCAACCCCTCCAACACCCCCCCTCATCCCGGGCTCCAGCCAAGGCCGGTCCCAGCCTTGACCTCGGCTGCGAGGCGCTGAGCGAGCCCAGTCGCGGGCGGGGAGCGTGCGTCGCTTCGCACAGGCTGCGAGAGGAGGGGCGGCGCGAGTCATGGCCGGGGACAGCGAGCAGACCCTGCAGAACCACCAGCAGCCCAACGGCGGCGAGCCCTTCCTGATCGGCGTCAGCGGGGGCACGGCCAGCGGCAAGGTAAGTCAGGGGCCCCGCGCGCCCTACTCGCGCGGCGGGCGGCACATGTGGCCGGCGCCCGCGGGCCGTGGCAGTTGCAGCCTGCCACCGCGTGGCCCGCGCGGTCTTCGCTCTGGGCCGCCGCCGCCAGCCCCGCGCAGGCTCGGGGCGAGGCGTTGGGGACCGGCGAGGGTCCTGGGACGACTAGAGGGTCCCCGGTGTGGGGCGTCCCCCACCCCTGCCCGCAGGGATGGTGCGCTCCCTCGCCGGTTCCCGGCGGCGGTGGCGGTGGTGGCGGCGGCTGGGACTCGTGGTCAGGGTCCTGTGGGGGAGGGGCGGGAAGCGGATGCTTATTGTTTTGCAAGTCGGGGCTGGGGACGGGGCTTTCGGGGGCTCCCCCCACGAGCCCCTGTGTGCTGCTCGGCCCCGGCTTGACCCTGGCCGGCCTGCCCGAGCCCATGGCTTGGCGGAGGGTGGCGAGGATGCGCGAGGCGGCGCGCCGGCTGCCTGGAGCCCACCTGGGGGTTTTCAGGGCTTTCCTGGAGAGAGCCAAGCCCGGTGGGCGCAGTCGCGGATGGGATGACAGCCGGGGTTGCTGTCTTTTACGGTTGGAAGAGAAAAGGGGATCAGTCTCAGTGAGAAAGTTGTACTGGTTCCCTGCTCTTCGGCGTCCGGGTCGCGTTCTCCTTGGATCCCAGGGAAGGGACTGCCGAGTCTCATTTTGCGAGGAGCCTCTTTTCTTTGTGGGTTTTTTTTTTTTTTTCACCCCCAGCGAGGCAGTGACAGGCGTCTTGGCTTCACCTCGGCTCTTTTCTGCAGGTGGGGAAGGGTGGAGCCCTCCCAGATGGTTCTTTCTTGACCCCCCAACGCTGCCTTTTAAGATGTGGCTGCTTGTTCGCCTGCCGTTTAACAGCCTCCAAGTTCAGTAGTGGGTGCTCGGGCTCCACCAGGGGCGCCCGGGGGAGCCGGGCGCCGCGTGCGGCGGCTGGTGAGGCGGGATCGGGACTCCCGAGGTTGGGGAGCGCGGAGCAGGAAGGCTGGGTGGCGCCATGAGACGCCCGCCACGCGCCACGCGGTTTTTTTTTTTTTTCTTCCAGCCTATTTCTCCTTGGCCCCTCCTCCATTTTGATTTTTTTTTTTCGTATTTTTTCCCTCCAGGTCTGGAGTACTTTAGGCCAGCAGCCCAGACAGCGTTGTGTTGTGTGCTGTAGAACTCCAGTTATTGATTAAATCCACTTCATCTTTAGCTTCCGTGGCTAGCACTCTGCAATGCTGTTTAGGTCTCTGAACTTAGGTTATTTGCGCTTTGCCTTGTAGCATGTTAAGTTTAAAAATACATTCTTCACGAGTGCGTCTAGGAATGCTGGGCAAAACCAGGATGCCAGCCCTATCAGGACGCCTTATCAGCTTTTTTGGAATTGCCTCAGCCACCCTGTCTCTTTCTTCCCAGTGTTCTGCTGTGGAGGGGCCATTTCTAATTCATGGCTGTATTCCCAGAGCCATGCCTGGGGAGAAGTTGGGGGTAGCCTGTTACGCTGAAGTCCAGCCCCCTTAGCGGGGAAGAGACTTTAAACTTGTAGACGACTGGAACATTTAGAAACAATGACCTTGGTCATCACCTAAATAATTCAATCACCCCAGAGGCCGAAAACTGACACACTGAAATGGCGAAACCATCTGTATTCGGTGTTACTTACTATTAAACTGCATTCGCAGTTGACATTAAGGATGGGTTTTTATTTTTATTTTTTGGTTTTTCGAGACAGGGTTTCTCTGTGTAGCTTTGCTCCTTTCCTGGAACTCACTCTAGCCCAGGCTGGCATCGAACTCACAGAGATCCGCCTGGAACTCACTCTAGCCCAGGCTGGCATCGAACTCACAGAGATCCGCCTGGCTCTGCCTCCTGAGTGCAGGGATTAAAGGCGTGCGCCCAGGATTGGCCAGGATTGGCCAGGATTGGTTTTAAGGGTCGCCCTAGACAGCTGGAATGGGAGGAGCGGTGAGCCGTGTGGGAGTAGCCAGCTCTCTGCTGACCTGCTTTTCATCAAGGAAGAAGAGGAAACTCCCCACGGAAGAAGGGTCTCTTCGTGCAGTATTCAAAACGTACACCTCGGGCATAGGATGGCTTGTTATGGTTAAAGAATTGTGTGTATCTATCTTAAGACAGTCTCTCTGGCTGGCTTGGGAACTCTATGTAGATAGACTCGGTTGGCCTCACTCTGAGAGAATCACCTGCCTCTGCTTCTAGTACTGGGATTATAGGCGTGGGCCACCACACCAGACTGTGTATTTGTTTTTTTAAAAAAAGTCCAGCTACATGAGCCAGATGGAGTAGGAGGCCAGCTTGGGCAATTTTGCAAAATACTGTCTTAGAACGTTAGAAAAGCTTTGGATGGACTTCTAAAAAAAATTCATGTTGTGGTCACTTTGTTGTAATTATTTCATAATTTTATTATTCCAGTCCTCAATGCCTTTCCACTAAAGAATTGGAAGTTTTTTCTCTCTCACTTCCTTTTTGCCTTTGAAGTCCTCATGAACAAACCGGGTCTCCTTTGGGAGTCTCAAACTGGCTGGGTGCAGCAGGGGCTAGAAGCAGGGCAGGGCGATACCCTACGTTCTGGCGAAAGGAATTCGGAAAAAGACAAAGGGGTTGAGATAAATGGCAGGTTACAAGGAACCTCAGAGCCTCTAGAGGCCAACAGTCTAATTACCTGTTTGAAAATGTGTGTTTTGGGGTGGTGGTGTTATAACCCAGGAGCGTGCACATGCATTGTCTTCACATGGAGCAGAGAGAAATGAGGCGGAGCTAATAATGTATGCCGACCACGTCGTGAGTGGCAGAGCTGGGACTAGAGCATCACTGCCCAGTCTCTGCTGCTGGCTTCTTGGAGAGCTGAGCCATAGTGCAGCCTCCCACCGTCAAATTGGGCAGGGACTGTATGGAGACAGCTGGGAAGGAACATTGGGACTCACAGCTACTTACCCCAGAGCAAATGGTGGTACCTCACAGCCCTATACTGTAGACCTGACCGTCTCCCCTTCTGGTCTCTCCTTCAGAAGAAAAAAACCCCACTCATTGGGAGTATGTATATCCTTTTCCTATTGGACTCCCCTTGTCTCAATGCTGTGGCTGTCCAGAGTACAAATATTTTATCTCAGACTAAATTATTTTGGTTGTAGAAGGCAAAAATAGTGATTACGGCTCCATGAGTTGTATTTTACATTTTAGTTATTTAAAGGGTCTTTCTATGTAGTTTAGGCTGGATTTGAACTCACTGTAGTCCAGGCTGGTGATCTTCCTGCCTCTGCCTTCCAAACACTAGGATTACAGAATGTACTGACACCCTGCTGTGACACGTTGAGATTTGTTTTATGGATGAAGATAAATGAGAAATTTAAACTTTTCTAGGCAGACAAAGCAAATCATTGTTAGGTCATTTTAAAATTTCCTATTGGTGGTGGTGGTGGGGCTGGGGACATGGCTTGCAGATGAACTGGGGTTTGATTCCTGGCACCCCAGTACTGGGAGATCTGCTGGCTTCTGCAAGCACCAGGCATGCATGTGGTACACATACGTACATGCAGGCAAAAACATTCATATCATTAAATTAAGCTGGGTGTGGTGGTACACACCATTTGACCTGGCACTTGGGAAGCAGAGGGTGGTGGATCTGTGAGCTCCAGGCCAGTATGATCTACATAGTGAGTTCCAGGTCAGCCAGGGCTACGCAGTGAGATCCTGTCTCAAAAAAATAAAACTAAGAAACAATTAAGATGCACTGGGGGCTGTTACTCCACGCTAGAGCTCTTGTCTGCTTTGCGTAAGGTCCTGAGCTTGATCTCCTAACCCTCAAAAACATGAAAAAAGCCACTCTACGTAGTGGATGAGAAAGTTTTCCTGACTTTTTTTTCTCCTGAACTCTTCCAGACTCTTATTTTCTCCTAAACAGTAAGTCCAAATAGCAAGAAATAACACGGGAAGGGAGGCAGAAACAAAACCAACAAGCCCCCACCAGCCCACATCTGTACAGTATACATTTATCACCAGGTACGGTTCCCTCGCTCCCTCCCTTTGTTTTTTTTTTTTCTCTTGACCTTGACCAATAAAAACAGCCTATGGGTCTGCTCCTTGTCACGCCATCCCAGGTGGTCTTTCTTGTGCTAGCGCTTGCCATGGTTACTCTCCCTTTCACACGCCTTGATGTCTCTGCAGAGTACAGGTCAGAAACTCAATAGGGTGCCAGTCCCCAGGCCCTCGGATGTGGCCCCCGGCTGCGTTTTGCACATGTCTGACTACACTGCGTTCACTGATGCCACTGCTCATGTTACACTTCTCTATAGGTCTGTGTAGACGACAGGTGCCTTTCTGGAAGAGACGGTGGAAGTTTGACTTAGGGGCAGAAGTGAGACTGGGATCCAGCTCTTCTGAATCTGCCTCATTTGAGCTTTTCTGCAGGCAGTGACCACCCCTGGAAGGTATTTTTAGGGAGGCGGGGCTGTGAGCAATCCAGGACAAGCGGTCCCCACTGAGGTGTGGGCTGATGATACCTCAGCTCAGCCTGACTGAGTCAGCATCTGGTTTTGGACTGTTTCAGAATGCCGTGGGGCCATGTCATCTTGGCTTCTGCTACCCCCATTCCTGGAACTTCAGCTGCTCCCCTTCTATCTGCATGGCTTAGTAGCTTTGGCGCCTTTCCTGGAACTCACTCTGTAGCCCAGGCTGGCCTTGACCTCCTAGAGTGCTGGGATTAAAGGCACGCACCACCACTGCTCGGCAAAGGAAGCAGTAGATAGTTTTTTCCTTAAGATTTATTATTTATTTAATATACAATATTCTATCTGCATGTTTGCCTGCACACCAGAACAGGGCACCAGATCTCATTACAGATGGTTGTGAGCCACCATGTGGGTTGCTGGGAATTGAACTCAGGACCTCTGGAAGAGCAGTCAGTGCTCTTAACCTCTGAGCCATCTCTCCAGCCCAGTCCATAGTCTTTCAGGGTGTGGCCTTTGTTCCCTGGGCTGTTTCTTTGAACAGGCACCGTGGTATTTTCTATCACCCCAGATGGATGCCTTGATCTTGCTAATGCCCTGGCCCGGTGCCCGCTGCCAGCGTCACGCCAGCGTCACTCCACTAGGTACGCCATGCCTTTTCTTCTCCAGGGAGGCCCTCTCTCTATGGCCACTCCTCATGAAACTCTTCCTTTTAGTTCAGTGCACACAGCTTGTGTTGTGAAGTCCTCCAGTAGCTCTTCTCGGCCTCTGTCCTTCCCTCGGGGAGGAGGCCTGCCTTTATTTGGTTGCGTGTCTTTGAAGCTTCTGTCCTTTCTGAGGGTCGCCCGCATGCTCATCTAACTCCATCTTGGTTTATAGAGTGTGCTTAGGTCTTGGGCTTGATGTACTTTCTTTGTAGAATCTTGCTTTAAATTTTAAAAGAAAAATGTTGTGTTGTTGTGTGTTGGTTGTTGTGTATCGTGTGTGTAGACACGGTGGAGAGAGCCGAGTCCCGCTCCTTCTCAGTCTGGTTTTTATCAGTCTCTGTGATGCAGAGAGCTTGCATTTGGGGATTCCACTGAAAATGTGAGATGTGACTTTGTTTTCTTTTGCTGGTGGGTTCTGTGATGGTTGAAACTATTCAAGGTCTTTTAGGGCATCTCAATATTTTTTTTTTGAAAGAAACAGTATGTATCTTTTTATTTAATTGATATGTGTCTCATTTTCCCTAGTAAAATTATGTTAAAGAACTTTTTTCCTGTAACTTTATCACGGCATCTCAATATTTTAACTCAAGAATGTTTGAAAGTATACTTATAGTGTATTACTTCAAATCATTTTTATCAGCTTTATCATTAGCCCATCTAATTTAACTATATATGTAAATTATAAGTTTTTATGAATTGACAGAATAGGAATTATGAGAGGATGGAAGTGGTGGGAACATTTAGAAATGTTTCTTTAGTGTAGAGAACCTTTGGTTCTCTCAAGACAGTTTCTTTATGT